TTGAATTGGCTTTCTTTTTTTTTTTTTGCAATATGTTTGTTGCCTTTGTTATCTTGCTGCATTAATTTGCTTTCTTTTTTTAGGTCGCTGCAATATGATTTATTTGCACTTATCTTCAGCATTGATTTGTTGCATTTGCTTATCAATTGCTTTTACTTCTTCAATATATTTGATTCATTGAATTTGCTTTCTTTTTTTTACGTTCTTTGTCGCCCAGTAGGTGATGATTTATTTTTACTTCTTCAATATATCTTGTTCTCTATTTGATTCAGTTGGCTTTCTTTTTACTTTCTTTTACGTTTTTTTTGCAGTAGGTGCAATATTATTCATTGAATTTGCTTTCTTTTTACGTTCTTTGTCGCTGCAGTAGGTGCAATATGATTTATTGCACTTCTTCATCCTTATCTTCCTTCTCTATTTGATTCATTAGCTTTCTTTTTTTGTTTGATTCAATATGAATTGCACTTCTTCAGCCTTATCTTCTTTTCTATTTGATTCATTGGGTTTTGTTTCTTTTTTCACGTCCTTTGTCGCTGCAGTAGGTGCAATATGATTTGTTGCATTCTTCATATATCTTATAGATTCATTTGCACTTGCTTTTTTACGTCAGCCTTAATCTGATTTATTTTTTGCTTCTTAGCAGCTATTTGATTCATTAGTTGGCTTTCTTTTTATCCTTTGTCGCTTAGGTTGATTTATTTGCACTTCTTCATTCTTGCTGCTTCTCTATTTGATTCATTTTTGCTTTTATTTTTACGTCCTTTGTCGCTGCAGTAGGTGCAATATGATTTGTTGCATTCTTCATTTATTTCTCTATTTGATTCATTGGTTGCTTTCTTTTTACAGCCTTCTTCAGCACTTCTTCATCTTTGCTCTATTTGATTCATTGCTTTAAAAAGCTTTTCTTTTTATTTTGTCGCTTGCATTCAATTCTTCATTCTTGAATTTTTCTTTTTACGTCCTTTGTCGCTGCAGTAGGTGCAATATGATTTATTTTCTTTTATCTTTACTCTTTTGATTCATTGTTGGCTTTCTTTTTTCCTTTGTCGTCGCTGCAATTTGATTTGTTTGCACTTCTTCAGTCTTCTTGTTGCTTCTCTATTTGCTTTCTTTTTTACGTCCTTTGTCGCTGCATTTATTTGCACTTCTATTTTGATTCAGCGCTGCAGTAGCTGCAATATGATTTATTGCTTCTTCAGCTTCTCTATTTGATTCATTGAATTTGCTTTTTTTTTTCTTTTTACTCTTTTTGTTCTTTGTTTTCTTTTTACATTCTTTTGTCAGTAGGTGCAATATGATTTATTTTCATATATCTTACTTCACTTCTCTAGCCTTTTTTATCCTTTGTCTTAGGTGCAATATGATTTATTTGCACTTCTTCATTTGATTCTCTATTGAATTTTTGCTTTCTTTTTATGTCCTTTGTCGCTGCAGTAGGTGCAATATGATTTTATTTGCACTTCTTCAGCCTATCTTGCTTTTCTTTTTTTAGTCTTCTCTCGCTGCATTTGATTCATTATTTGCTTTTTTTTCATTGATCCTTTTGTCGCTGCAGTAGGTGAATTCTGCCTTCTTCTTGCTTCTCTGTTTTATTCATTGTTTGCTTTCTTTTTACGTTCTTTTGCGCTGCAGTAGGTAATTTGTTGCATTTATTTCTTGCATTAGTTTGCTTTTCTTTTTTACTTCTTTGTCGCTGCAGTGAGTGCCTTTTATCTTCTCTTTGCTTGAATTTGCTTTCTTTTTTATTTTGATTCATTGAATTTGCACTTCTTCAGCCTTTTTTTAGCTTCTCTATTTGATTCATTGAATTTGCTTTCTTTTTTGTCCTTTGTCGCTGCAGTAGGTGCAATATGATTTATTTTCTTCAGCTTATCTTTTCAGCTTCTCTATTCATTGCTTACGTCCTTTGTCGCTGCATTTTTATTTGCACTTCTTCATTCATTGAATTTGATTTTTGAATTTGCTTTCTTTTTTACGTTCTTTGTCGCTGCAGTAGGTGCAATATGATTTATTTGTTCTTCAGCTTTCTTTTACTTCGCTTCTATTTGATTCATTGGTTGCTTTCTTTTTTTATCCTTTTTGCTTAGCACTTCTTCATTTCTTTATAGCTTCTCTATTTGATTCATTGAATTTGCTTTCTTTTTTACGTCCTTTGTCGCTGCAGTAGGTGCAATATGATTTATTTGCTTCTTCATTTCTTATAAGCTTCTCTCAGCTTTCTTAATTCATTAATTTGCTTTCTTTTTTACGTTCTTTGTCGCTTGTTAGCTTTGTGTCAGTGCAGTAGGTGCAATATATTTTACTTCTTCAGCTTCTCTTAAGCTTCTCTATTTGATTCATTGAATTTTTCTTTTTTAGTTTTGTCGCTTTGCAGTTTGATTTGTTGCACTTCTTCAATATATCTTATAAACTTCTCTATTTGATTCATTGAATTTTTTCTTTTTTGTGTCGCTGCAGTAGGTGCAATATGATTTATTTGCACTTCTTCAGCCTTATCTTGTTAGCTTCTCTATTTGATTCATTGAATTTGCTTTCTTTTTTACGTTTTTTGTCGCTGCAGTGGGTGCAATATGATTTGAAGCACTTCTTCAATATATCTTATTTCTCTATTTGATTCATTGAATTTGGCAGTGGAGTTGCAATTTTATTTGCACTTCTTCATATCTTTACAAGCTTCTCTATTTGCAAGTCCTTTGTCGCTGCAGTATTGATTTATTGCATTTGCATCTTGCTTCATTTGATTCATTGAATTTGCTTTCTTTTTATCCTTTGTCTTAGGTGCAATTTTAGCTTCTTCATTATGATTCATTGAATTTTTGCTTTTCTTTTTTACGTCCTTTGTCGCTGCAGTGCAGGTGCAATATGATTTATTTGCACTTCTTCAGCCTTATCTTTGCTTCTCTATTTGATTCATTAAATTTGCTTTCTTTTTTATTTGAGTTGCATTGAATTTCTTGCTTCACTTCTTTTTGATTCATTGTTTGCTTTCTTTTTACGTTCTTTGTCGCTGCAGTAGGTGCAATATGATTTATTTGCACTTCTTCAGCCTTTATCTTGATTCATTAGTCCTTTGTCGCTGCAGTATTGCAATATGATTTGTTTGCACTTCTTCAGATTTGCTTCATTGATTCATTTTTGCTTTTTTTTACGTCCTTTGTCGCTGCAAGGTAATATGATTTATTTTCTTCAATATATCTTCTTAGCTTCTCTATTTGATTCATTGATTTGCTTTCTTTTTTACGTCCTTTGTCGCTGCAGTAGGTGCAATATGATTATTTGCACTTCTTCAGCCTTTTATTGTGTTTTATTTGCAATTTGCTTTTCTTTTTTTACAGCTTTGTTTTACGCTCTATTTGATTTGTTGCACTATTGAATTTCTCTTTTTTTTGAATTTTTTTCTTTTTTCCGTCTTTGTCTGCAGTAGCTGCAATATTTTATTTGCACTTCTTCAGCCTTATCTTTTTAGCTTCTCTGTTTGATTCGTTGATTTGCTTTTTTTTACGTCCTTTGTCGCTTCAATTTTGAATTTTTTTCTTCTATTCTTATTTGCTTTCTTTTTACGTCCTTTGTCTCGCTTATTATATCTTGCTTTCTTTTGATTCATTAATTTGTCGCTGATTTATTTGTTTTCTTCTTCAGCCTTATTTGCTAGCTTCTCTTTAATTTGCTTTCTTTTTGCTTTTTGTCGCTGCAGTAGGTGCAATATGATTTGTTTGCACTTCTTTCTTGCTTTCTCTATTTGATTCATTGAATTTGCTTTCTTTTTTACGTCCTTTGTCGCTGCAGTAGGTGCAATATGATTGCACTTCTTCATTATTTTTGATTCATTGAATTTGCTTTCTTTTTTTACGTCCTTTGTCGCTGCAGTAGGTGCAATATGATTTTCATTTGCACTTCTCTTTTTTATCTTTGGCTCTATTTGATTCAATTAGCTTTCTTTCTTTTTGTTTCTTTTGTCGCTGCATTGCAATATGATTTATTTGCACTTCTTCTTTTTTATTTGATTCGATGAATTTTGCTTTCTTTTTTACGTTCTTTGTCGCTGCAGTAGGTGCAATATGATTTTCATTTGCACTTCTTCAGCCTTCTTTGTCCTTCATTCTCTTTTGCTTCATTGTTTTTTCCTTTGTCGCTGCATTTGTGCAATTCATTGAAGCCTTTCTTTTTCTCTGTTTGATTCATTGAATTGGCTTTCTTTTTTTACGTCCTTTGTCGCTGCAGTAGGTGCAATATGATTTTTGCATTTGCACTTCTTCTCTATTTTTGATTCATTGATTTGCTTTCTTTTTACGTCTTGTCGCTGCAGTAGGTGCAATTGAATTATTTGCTTCTTCTTATCTTGCTTAGCTTCTCTTTTGATTCATTTTTGCTTTTCTTTTTACGTTCTTTGTGCAGTAGGTGCAATATGATTTATTTGCATTTCAATATTTATAGCTTCTCTATTTGATTCATTGAATTGCTTTCTTTTTTACGTCCTTTGTCGCTGCAGTAGGTGCAATATGATTTATTTGCACTTCTTCAGATTCCTCTTTGATTCATTGAATTTGCTTTCTGTCCTTTGTCGCTGCAAGGTTGCTTTCTATTTATTTGATATTTGTTTTCTCTATTTGATTCATTGGTTTGCTTTCTTTTTTATTTTGTCGCTGCAGTAGGTGCTTGTTTATTTGCTTCCAGCTATCTTTCTATTTGATTCATTAATTTGCTTTCTTTTTTACGTCCTTTGTCGCTGCAACAATATGGTTGTTGCACTTCTTCAGCCTTATCTTAACACTTCTCTTTTGATTCATTTGCCTTTTTTTTACAGTCGCTGCAGTAGATTTTAGACACTTCTTCAGCCTTACATTCTCTATTTGATTCATTTATGCTTTCTTTTTACGTCCTTTGTCAGCGCTGCAGTAGGTGCAATATGATTTATTTGCTTTCTTCAGCTCTGTAATTTCTATTTGATTCATTGAATTTGCTTTCTTTTTTGCGTCCTTTGTCGCTGCAGTAGGTGCAATATGATTTATTTACTTCTTCAGCTTCAATCTCTGTATCTTGTTTATTCTCTATTTGATTCACATGAGCTTTCTTTTTTTTTTAGTCCTTTGTCGCTGCAGTATTATCTGATTCTTCTTCGCTGCATCTATGATTTATTTGAATTCATTATGTCCTTTGTCGCTGCAGTAGGTGCAATATGATTTGTTTGCACTTCTTCAGCCTTTATCTTGCTTACTTCTCTATTTGATTCATTGAATTTGCTTTCTTTTTTTTACGTCCTTTGTCGCTGGCTGCAATATGGTTCTATTTGATTCACTTCTTTCTTTTTTATTATCTTATATCTTGCTTCTCTCTGTTTGATTCATTGAATTTGCTTTCTTTTTTAGTCCTTTGTCGCTGCAGTAGGTGCAATATATTTATTTGCACTTCTTCAATTATTTCTTTATGCTATTTGTTTGCTTTCTTTTTAGTCCTTTGTCGCTGCAGTAGGTGCAATATGATTTGTTACACTTCTTCAGCCTGCTTAGCTTCTCTATTTGATTCATTGAATTTGCTTTCTTTTTACGTCCTTTGTCGCTTAGGTGCAATATGATTTATTTGCACTTTTCAGCCTTCTTGCTTTCTCTACCATTTGCTTTCTTTTTTTGCGTTTTGTCGCTGCAGTGGGTGCAATATGATTTGTTGCACTTCTTCAATATATCTTATTCTCTATTTGATTCATTGAATTTGCTTTCTTTTTTATTCTTTGTCGCTGCAGTAGGTGCAATATGATTTGTTGCATTCTTCAGCCTTCTTGGCTTCTCTACTTTCTTTTTACGTTCTTTGTCGCTGCAGTAGGTTTTATGATTTATTTGCAATATCTTGCTTTCTCTTCTCTTTTTTTTTATTTTTGATTCATTGAATTTGCTTTTCTTTTTTACATCCTTTCTTTTATTATTATTTATTTTGCGACAGTTATTCTATTTGATTCATTGAATTTGCCTTTTTTTACGTCCTTTGTCGCTGCAGTAGGTGCAATGTGATTTATTTGCATACTTCAATATATCTTGTTCTTCTCTATTTGATTCATTGAATGCCTTTCTTTTTTACGTCCTTTGTCGCTGCAATGGGTGCATATGATTTGGACTTCTTCAATATATCTTATAGCTTCTCTATTTGATTCATTAATTTGCTTTTTTTTACGTCCTTTGTCGCTTGTTGTAGGTTGCACTGTTGAATTTGCTTTTTCTTTTTGCGTTCTTTTTGTCGCTGCAGTAGGTCAATATGATTTGTTGCACTTCTTCAGCCTTCTCTGTTGATTCATTAATTTGCTTTTTCTTTTAGCTTTGTCTGCATTTGATTCATTGAATTTGCTTTCTTTTTTTTACGTCCTTTTGGTGCAATATGATTTATTTGCCTTCTTCAGCCTATCTTGCTTAGCTTCTCTATTTGATTCATTGAATTTGCTTTCTTTTTTTACAATATTTTATTTGCACTTCTTCAGCCTTATCTTGCTTGCTTCTCTATTTGATTCATTGAATTTGCTTTCTTTTTTACGTCCTTTGTCGCTGCAGTAGGTGCAATGTGATTTATTTGCACTTCTTCAGAAGCTTCTCTATTTGATTCATTGAATTTGCTTTCTTTTTTCCGTCCTTTGTCGCTGCAGTAGGTGCAATGATTTATTTGCACTTCTTCAGCTTATCTTGTCGCTTTGAAGGTTCTCTATTTGATTGCATTGAATTTCTTCTTTTCTTTTTTTCGTGAATTTGTTCTTTTTGTCGTTGTCGCTGTAGGTGCAATATGATTTATTTGCGCTTCTTCAATATATCTTGCTTAGCTTCTCTATTTGATTCATTGAATTTGCTTTCTTTTTTACGTCCTTTGTCGCTGCAGTAGGTGCAATATGTTTATTTTATACTTCTTTTATCTTGCTTTTAGCTTCTCTATTTGATTCATTGAATTTGCTTTTCTTTTTTGATTCCTTTGTCGCTGCAGTACTATGATTTATTGATTCTTCAGCCTTATCTTGAATTCTCTATTTGATTCATTGAATTTGCTTTTATTTTTACGTTCTTTGTCGCTGCAGTAGGTGCAATATGATTTGTTGCATTCTTCAGCCTTATCTTCCTCTATTTGATTCATCCTTTGTTGCACATCAATATGATTTGTTTACACTTCTTCAATATATCTTGTAAGCTTCTCTATTTGATTCAGTGATTTGCTTTATTTTTTACGTTCGCTGCCATTTGATTTATTGCACTTCTTCATTTCTTCTTCACTTCTCTGTTTGATTCATTTTTGCTTTTTTTTACGTCCTTTGTCGCTGCAGTAGGTGCAATATTTCTTCAATTATCCTTTGATTCATTGAATTTGCTTTCTTTTTTATGTCGCTGCAGTAGGTGCAATATGATTTGTTTGCACTTCTTCAATATATCTTATAGCTTCTCTTTGATTCATTGAATTTGCTTTCTTTTTACGTCCTTTGTCCTGCATAATTTGTTACTTCTTCAGCCTTCTTGCTGCAGCTCTGTTTGATTCATTGTTTTTTTTCTTTTTTTCCTTTGTCGTTGCAATATTATTTTGTTGCACTTCTTCAATCTTCTTAAACCTCTGTTTGATTCATTGAATTTGCGCTCTTTTTTACGTTCTTTGTCGCTGCAGTGGGTGCAATAGTTTATTTACTTCTTCGGTTATCTTGTAACTTCTCTATTTGATTCATTAGTTTGCTTTCTTTTTATCCTTTGTCGCTGCAGTAGGTGCAATATGATTTGTTGCACTTCTTCAGCCTTACTTATATTCTCCTATTTGATTCATTGAATTTGCTTTCTTTTTTTCAGTAGGTGGTTTTTGCTTCTTCAATATCTTATGCTTCTTTGTGTTTGCATTCTTTTTTACGTCCTTTGTTGTTGCAATGATTTATTTGCACTTCTTCAGTATCCTGTATTAGCTTTTCTTTTTTAGTCGCTCAGTAGGTGCAATGGTATTCTTAGACTTCTCTTTTTTTAGTTGCTTTCTTTTTACGTCCTTTGTCGCTGCTGAGATGATATGGTTCGACATTTGATTCATTGATTTGCTTTCTTTTTTACGTTTTTCTTGCTAACAGATCTTTCTTTTTTACGTCCTTTGTCGCTGCAGTTGCAATTATTATTATTTCTTCTTTGATTATTATTCATTACTTCTTTTACGTCGCTGATAGGATCAATATGGTTGTTGAGGTTTTGGATTTTTAGCACTCCTTTGTCGCTGCATTGCAATATGTTTGTTGCAAATTTGATTCATTGGTGCCTTTTTTTTACGTCCTTTGTCGCTGCTGTAGATGCAATATGATTTTATTGCCTTCTCTCGTCTTCTTTTTTTTACGTTCTTTGTCGCTGCAGTTTTTAATATGATTTGTTGCACTTCTTCGTTTTATTTGATTCATTATTGCTTTCTTTTTACGTTCTTTGTCGCTGCAGTTGTTGATTTATTTGCACTTTTATGTCTTGATTTTTCTATTTGATTCATTTTTCTTGTCCTTTGTCGCTGCATTTTTTGTTGTTCTTCAATTAATTCTCTTATTTGATTCATTAGTTGCTTTCTTTTTTTACGTCCTTTGTCGCTTAGGTGCAATTCACTTCTTCACCATTTATGTTCTATTTGATTCATTGGTTTGCTTTCTTTTTCAAGATGGTTAATTTAGATTCATTTGAATTTTGCCTTTTTCCGTCCTTTGTCGCTGCAGTTGCAATATGATTTGTTGCACTTCTTCAATTATCTTTATCTTCTCTATTTGATTCATTATTTTGCTTTCTTTTTTACGTCCTTTGTCGCTGCATAGGTTGCAATATGATTTATTTGCACTTCTTCAATATATCTTAACCAGCTTCCTGTTTGATTCATTGCTTTCTTTTTTACGTCCTTTGTCGCTGCAGTAGGTGCAATATGATTTATTTGCACTTCTTCAATATATCTTATAGCTTCTCTATTTGATTCATTGAATTTGCTTTCTTTTTTGCGTTCTTTATTGTCGCTTTTTCCATTCTCTTATCTTGTTTGATTCATTGTTTGCTTTTCTTTTACGTTCTTTTGTCGCTGCAGTTGCAATTTTTATTTGCACTTCTTCAATATTCTTATGCGTTTGCTTTCTTTTTCCGTCCTTTGTCGCTACGTAGGTGCAATATTTATTTGCCTTCTTCAGTTTTATTCATTTGATTCATTGAATTTGCTTTCTTTTTACGTCCTTTGTCGCTGCAGTAATATGATTTATTTGCATTCTTCATTTTATCTTGCTTAGCTTCTCTATTTGATTCATTGAATTTGCTTTTTTTTTTTTACGTCCTTTGTCGCTGCAGTAGGTGCAATATGATTTGTTGCACTTCTTCAGCCTTATCTTGCATTCATTGAATTTGCTTTCTTTTTACGTTCTTTGTCGCTGCAGTAGGTCAATATGATTTATTTGCACTTCTTCAGCCTATCTTTATTTTAGCTTTTGATTCATTGAATTTGCTTTCTTTTTTACGTCCTTTGTCCGCTGCATTGCAATTATTTATTTGCACTTCTTTCAATATTATCTTGCTTATAGCTTCTCTATTTGATTCATTGAATTTTTCTTTTTATGTTCTTTGTCGCTGCAGTAGGTAATATGTTCATTTGCACTTCTTCAGCCACTTTTTTTTCAATTTGTTGGCCTCCTTTATTATTGAATAAAAGTTTCTTTTTCTTTCGTGTTCTTTGACAAAGATTATCAAGTTTTCTGTAGTTTCCAGATATATTTGAAGACCGATTGTGGCCTTGTAAGACACTTCTAGTTGAACTAATCATCTGTCCCCTTCGTATCCAGACATATACAGACGATCAACATCAGCCTTTTAACACTGTACAATTTAACTATGGCTATGGGCTTTGTCTACATACGAGCAGAGTATTAACCATGAAGGGGTTTTCGTTTTCTCCTTCTTCATCACATTGTTCTTCTCTTTTACTATATCACTATTATTATTATTATTATTATTAGTAACAATAATAATAATTTTATTATTATTGTGCATCTTCAGTGTCTTCTTGGCTACCTTCCTCTTTTCCTTCGACATCTCCTTTTACTTCTTGTTCTTGTTCTTCTTTTCTTCTTCTTCTTCTTCTTCTTCTTCTTATTATTATTATTATTATTATTGTTATCCTTATTCGCCGTCTTCTTCTTGGCTACCTTCGTCTTCTCCTTCTACATATCCTTTTCTTCTCACTATTATTATTATTATTATTATTATTATTGTCCTTGTCGCCGTCTTCTTCTTGGCTACCTTTGTCTTCTCCTTCTACCTCTCTTTTTTCTTCTCACTATTATTATTATTATTATTATTGTTGTTGTTGCTGTTCTTGTTGTTGTTCTTCTTGTTGTTCTTGGGTTATACTTTGTATCCTGTAGAGCAGGTTCAAACTATGGTCCTTGAATAGGAGGTGTCCCTTTGACTGATTACTTTTCTTAGTATATGTTTCTAGGAGGGCGATCTTCTGGGCGTTGATATTATCCGCATTTTTTATTAGTAAAATTGTCCTCTTTTTTCTCGGGAGACTGAGATCCTCGAATACTATTGATACAGCCTCAGTCTCCATTCGCCACATCCTGTTAATCTCGATCTCCAGATCCTTGTATTTGAACAATTTCTCGATAATTTTCATGGAGGTGTTTCATTCAGATGGTTCAATAAGCATACAGCTCCTGGATTTCTTCTCTTTTATGATAATATCGGGTCTGTTGGTTTTTATTTTCCCGTCAGTTTGAATTGACATGCCCCAGTGATAGTTACGTCGTTATTTTAGGTAACTGTATCCAGTTGGTGCTCATACCATCTCTCAGTGGTTTTGATTTTGTGCTTCTTGCATATCTTCCGGTGCACATATGTGGCTACCTTATTATGTCTGTGGGTATATTCATCTTTTGCTAGTTGCGGACATCCTGAGATGATATGGTCGACAGTTTCATTATATTTTCCGCAGATCCTGCATTTTGGGTTAGTTCCACTTTGATTATGTGACAGTGATAGGATCTGGTTGCGAGGTTTTGGTCCTCAGCTGCAATAATTAGACCTTCTGTCTTAGTTTTCAACTCGGTGCTTCTCAGCCACTCGTGCGTTTTCTGTTGGTCTACGTCTGCTTTTTCGTTCTTTTTATGTATTTTTTATGCAAAGCCTTGTCCTCCCATTTTTGTTGTAATTTCATCTGGCTAAGTTGTTCTGCTTCCTGCTTTACTCGTTTGGCATAGATGGTAATCCCTTCGTTTATTGTGGGTAGGATTAATTATTATTATTATTATTATTATTATTAGCGTCCTGCTTCGCCGCCGCCTTCTTGGCTACCTTCGCCTTTCCCTTCTACGTCTCCTTTTCCTTCTCACTCTTATTATTATTATTATTACTATTATTATTATTGTCCTTGTCGCGTCTTCTTCTTGGCTACCTTCGTCTTCTCCATCTACATCTTTTCTTCTCAGTATTATTATTATTATTATTATTATTATTAGCGTCTTTCTTCGCCACCGCCTTCTTGGCTACCTTCGTCTTTCCTTTCTACATCTCCTTTCTCTTCTCACTCATTATTATTATTATTATTATCGCCATTTTTCTCGTCGTCTTTTTGGCTACGTTTTTCTTCTCCTTCTACATCTCCTTTTTCTTCTCACAATTATTATTATTATTATTAATGTCCTTCTTCGCCGTCTTCTTCTTTGCTGCCTTCGTCTTCTCCATCTACGTCTCTTTTTTCTTAGCACTATTATTATTATTATTATTAGTAGTAGTAGTAGTATTCGGACTCTTTTTCTGGTCTATCGTCTTCCCCTTCTACATCTACTTTTTCTTCTCCCTACTATTATTATTATTATTATTATTATTATTATTGTCCTTCTTCGCCGACTTCTTGGTTCTTTTTCATTTTATTTTCACTATTCAAAAGTAACCTAGACATTCTACACCTCGTGTTTCTTCTTCCTCTTCTTCTTCTTCTTCGTCTTCTTCTTATTTTTATTATTATTATTGTTGCTGTTGTTGTTGTTGTTGCTTTTGTTGTTCATAACATTTTTATTGTAATAATTCTCCTTTTTTGTTTCTCTTATCTTTGTCCCTTCATTTTTACATTTCCCTTCGTGTTTTCCTCATAATTGTTTCTATAAGAGTTTAATTTCTGGAACGTCTTCATTGCCATTCTCTTCTCCTGAAAGAAATTTCTATATATT